TAGAAAGGAAGGATGTCATTTTTTTTTCTTTTTTGGTAAGAGAAAAAGGGTGTCATTTGACCTACATAGATTGACCTAGTACTGTACAAAAAAACCGTAAAACCGAAACCGACCGCTAAAAACCGAAAACGACGGTGCCACATGGAACCGAACACAATCGGTTCAGTAAACCGACTGACTAGATCAAAAGTCGGTTCGGTTTCGGTTTTGCGTGTAGAGAGTCGGTTAAAAACCAAACCGACCGAGATGAGATTTTTTTTTTTTTATGTTTTCAATTTTTTTTTAAGGTTATGTTGTCGTTTTGCACTCTATATTATCGTTTTTTTTTTTAACTTGTGTTTGTGCAATTATCAATTTTGATGTTGTGCTTTGTATTCATTTATTATGATTACATGTTTGCAACTTTGCATTGAAGGAAAGTTTTACATTTTTTCGTACTTGCAGGTCAAAAATGCAACTAAAGATGCTGGTAACTTGATGGTTAACTGAGGTCATCTTCTTGATTACCAAAATCAAAAACCGACCGAAACCGAACCGAAACTAAAGTTCGGTTAACCGAACCGAAAATTGTTATGTACGGTTCGGTTTCGGTTCCAACTTTTAGAAAACCGACATAGTCAGTTCGGCCACCGAACCGACCAAAACCGACGAACAACCTGCCTAAACTACAAACTTCTTATGAAAAGAGAGAATTCACATTGTCGAGAAGATATTAGAAACAAAGAATGGCGGCTCCAAATTATTTAAGTTCATGAGGTCCTGATTCTCTAGAAGTAATATTAATGTGAGTGAGATAAATATTAGGGTCGCTAGCTGGAAATCATTTTTTTTTTTTTTTGTGTGTATAAAGGTGTGGGAGAGATGACCAACTATAACTATCTTTTTGCGTGATTAAAAGAGTCTTGTACGTTAGTAAATGTTTTTATTTTGTGCCATAATACTAAAGTGTTTTTCTCGAGACGCAAATTAGAGACCTCTCATCTACCAAACCATTATGCTAAATGTTCCCTTTGTACTACAGCCTTGGTGGTCTCTTTTTTAACTACAAATCATTTTTATGTTGGAGAAATACTACTACTTAACAATGTTAAGCGGTATTGATGTTATAAAGAATAAGCCCACGCTTTGAGTCCTACAGATATATTTTTTTAATTAATTGTGGTGCCAAAGCACCAAATAATGGTTCCAAGTATTGTTTATGCTAATAGCCACAACTAATAAATATAACTGGTCAAAATACATCTTAAAGAGGTTCAAATTGCAAATAATTAGAAATCCAAAATAAAGTTTCGATACTAAAAAGACCAACATAATGAAACTCTGCAGTTTCAAACACACTATTTCTTGGACTTCCCAAATACATCCAAACATCTAACTGATTAAACTTTAGGAGTGAGACTTAAATTCGGAAAGAAACTGCCTTGCAATACTCAATTTGAAAACGGACAAATAACTAACGCGAGTAGGCCACATTGACCAACATGCCTTCACATGTAAAACTCCTCCTGATCAGTATGTCGTTCCCTGTTGAAACGCACTATTCCTTTACCCTTTTCCATTATATTCTCTAACGATCTGACCCCTCTTGCATGCATTTTTTTTATAGCACTTTATATTCCCACTTAAATGTTAATTTTGCTTTGTTTTCATTTTGTTTCTTTTTTTTTCAAAGATTTTTATGGTTTTATTTTTTAAAGGTTTTATTTTTTTTTTTTCCCTTACAAAAAGCTATCACCATATAAGCTAGCAACCTAATAATATTATCTCAAATTATAGTTGTTTGAATTTTGTTTATCAGTATATATTAGCAGCGTATAAATAGCAAACACCTGACAGCCAATTAAGAAATTAAACTTGTGAATATTCCTAAAGCAAAATAAAATAAATAAAAATGTGAGAAATGTAGCTGTATTTACCTGTTCACAGAAGCTTAGGTTATTGGAATGTGCCACCCTCAACCGGCAACCCTCCACCTTAGCACACTCCCTCTTAAATATTCCGACCACCGCGGACTCGTTGCGAAACGACCTCGGCCCGGTCCTCATAAACAACGTCATCCCTATCTCAGGCAAAGCCTTTCCCTTCACTTTCACCGTCCTCTCCTCCATACTCACCTTACAGTAAACCCTAGCTTTGCACCTCATAAGATCATAAACCTCCATCCTCCTCTCCCTCGACATACCGCCCTCATTGTGCCGCATCACCACCGCCTCCTCGAAGCACACCGGATTCTGATCGCCGTCCCCTATCACCCCTTCGAACCCTTCGATCACTGGGGGGCCATCAAAGGTGGCCTCCATCAATGCTTTCAGCCAAAACCCCATCTTCAGCCTCAGCTCACCCCAGTGGTACAATACCCACCTGTCGGGAAGATCAGAGCAATTGTTCTTCCGGTGCCACGCGACGAAAGGGACGAAGGCGGACAGGCCGTGCCAGATGTTGTCGTAGTTGTAGTGGTTGTAGGAGACGAATGTGAGGCCCTTCATTAGGGTTGCGTTGTAGGGCAAGGCCTCTGGCCATGCCAGGCTGTAGGCGTTCCACGAACCATCGTGGACGTCGCGGCCTTTGAGGCAGAGAAGCCTTCCGTGGGAGGATTCGGACGGGAACTGCTGGTATTGGACCTCGCCTTGCTCGTGATCGTCGTACATGGAGCTCATGAACCACGTGTGCCCTACAAGAGCCTTGTCCACGTAGCGGAGGTCCTTGAGCGGGAGGAACGTCACTGCTCGGCGGAGCTTGTCCACCATGACATCAAGCTCCTCCACCGAGCAAGCGGTGGCGGTCGCGGTGTTGATAATTTTTTGCCATTGGTTTGTGAAAGACCAAGATGGCTGCGAGGGTGAGGGTGGCGGGATTTCACGGGATTGGATGTGGAGGAGGATGAAGAGGACAGCGCAGGCGGATAAGAGGATGGAGGCTTTTGGAGAGTACATGGAGAAGGGAGAGAAGTTGCGGTGGTGGTGTTTAGGTGTTTTGGTCATGGCGGTTGTATTGTTATGTTAGAACGTTGAGAGAGACAGAGGAGCTTAAAAGGTTGCATAAAAAGGGGTTTGGTGTTAATGCGTTATGTAAAGTTAAATCTTTGTTTTGATTCAAGATTTGAGAAACTTTTATGATATTTTCACTCTCAAGATGAGCAATAACCTCGAGGTTTCATCAATGGTTTTTGTGCCATATTATGGAATAATTTAGAGCTTCCAGATTTTATGGCGTAACGCTAGTGTGTGAATATACATTGTGATGCTCCAAGTGAGAAATTAGGGGCAAAAGCAACTTATATAACTAAAATAATAAGGGGCTTTTGCAAGTCCCATGTGATTAAGGCTTGTGACTTGAGAGTTAATGTGTACTACAGGATTAATGACAATCTAAAACTATTACGGCAACATTTGTATCATTATCAGCAAGTCACAAGGCATAGCTACAAATTTGATTATAATCCACCACTCTCTTTTTCAGATTAACCTTTTACTTTTTATACGTAAAAAAAATAAAATAAAAATGAAATTACAAAACCGATAGCACCACAGCGAGACTCAATTTATTTTCGCAGAGAAAAAAAAAATTGCAGATGTGCATGCCACCCAACTAAGAAAGAATTTTTTACTTCAAGGCCTAAAATCTAACCAGGAAGAAAATGAAGGACTACAGTTGATGCCATGACATCTCTTTTCCAAAATTGCTGCGGAAGCAAATTTTTTCCCAAGTCCATCCATTTCACACAATTAATACAACCAAAATTAAATTTTTAAAAAAAAATATAGAATTCGTTTTTACTTCTTACCTCAACTCGTATACAAAATTGCTGCAGAATGGACTGCACACAAGTCCTAGTTTTGGTATTTTAAGAAGAGAACCATAATATGCTACACTGCAGTTCGTAAAATTTCTGAGACAATCTCTGGTTTTCACTACCTTCTGTCTACAAAGGCAAAACCAAGGCCTTCATGATACATCAATCAGAAGTCCAAAGTTCCACATTGTTTGCTCTCAATACTTTTCGCTGCATTATTCCCTTTTGCGTCCTTACGATCATTATTTAGGCCTCGAGTCCGCCCAATCCCCAGCTTTGGTAACCCTCGATTCAACCCCTCAAGCAAAACACAGGCTTTGCACCATTTCTGCGCGATTTATCATGAAATGTTAAGAACTTCAACTAGAGTAATCTGACACAAGGTATTACCAATTCTGCACAATCAGGGAAGATCACCTTGCCCTTTTGCTCTATCTGTAGCCTATAAGTTAATCAGAAATAGAATCCCTAACATATTTTACCACACTACGGAAAGAATGCAAGTATTACTAACAATGATTGGTGTATTACACTTATAAGGCAACAAATATTGATGAACTAAAACCAAATGAAAAGAGGAAAAATCCCCACAGAAATTGTAAAACAGAGAAAGATCATCAGGGGAATGATTATTTGCATCACGAACGTGACTTCGTAATTGATGATTGTCTAACATTACTCACAGACTTGAACAATTATCCATGGTCAGATTCTCATGATTTGTGATAACATTGCAACCTAAGATTCTCCGATCCTTTAACCAAGAAGTGCTTCTATGAAGAAATTTAAACTTGATCAATGATTTCCAAAAACTCTGACCAAGAAATGAACTGACAACAGTGCCATGGGAAACAATTTTGCTCGTAATTTCTTTAGCATAACAAGAGACATGTTATTAAAAACGAGAAAAAGTTACCTTGAGAATAACACATTGAGGCCAAGTTCTTCTCAAAAAAAGCACGAAAAAGACCAATAAAACCAAAAATAAAAAAAAAACACTAGCGTTTAGTCTAGACACTGCTATTTAGTCATATGGAATCTTTCTGGATTCCTTCTAGACTAAGTGGCCTTTTTTTCTTTTTCTTTCTTTGTTTTTTTTTTTAAATAAGTAACGAGAAGAAAGTTTATTAGAAATAAAGAAAAAGTGAAAGTGTACAATAGAGGACAAGGAGTCCACCAAAAAAAAAGGAAAAAGCCAGAACCAAAAACACATAAGACAAGGAGTCCGCCAAAACAAAAGGAAAAAGGCAGAACCAAAAAGACCTAAAGATTCAAACTGATTTGTTAAGAGTTTAAACTGCCTCTTTTCTAAGGACAAAATAATAAACCAAAGTGCATGGGCGTATCAAAAATATATGTGGAAACATGTCAATAACAGCAAAGGATCAAGAAACTAGTACAACAGGTACAATGTTGAAGGGCCTAGAAACTAGTACAACATAGAACTTTACTTGAAGTCCAATATTCGATTATGACGTAAATCTTAAACTCCTCCAACACCGTCTTATGCTCTTAAATTCTAAGAATATCACGGTTCTTTCTCAACGTATCTCCGGATTAACGTGAACTCAAACGTGTGGGTGTTCTAATGAGTTTCTCAACACATGAGATTGATGAATAGGGAGGCCACCTATAGTTATTACTCACTTTTCTCAAAAGTATGTGATAGCACTCTAGAAATTTTCCTTTTTGGTTTTTCTTTTTGTTCTCCCGTTTTTCACCCTTTCTCTTCTCTGGAAAAAAATATTAATCCACGCTGAGGATTAAAAACGTTCACACACCGAGGAACTCCTTCCTCTCTGTCTGTGACCTTTTCCTCATAGGGAGAAAACGTGCACCTGCACGTTTCCTTTCTTTTATAAATATATATATATATATATATAAATGAGGGGAGGGAGAAGGAAACGTGGAGAAGAAAATTATCTCTAAATTCATCCATATTAATTTAAAATAATTTTAATATTAATTAATCAAATTAATTAATATATGTGTATTTAGAATTCTCAGTTCTATATTAATAATCATAACTCAATATGATATATTCAGTTCACATTAATCTTATGGAGCCATTGAGAGGAATTATGGACATTATTATTTTAAGCTCTAATAATTTTGACAATTAATTACCACCTTAATTAATATATCAAAATTATTAATTCCAAATTACTCTACTATAATTTTGGAATTGCACTCTTAAAATAATAAAATAATTATGTTCACAAAATTTGTGTTGTCCATTGATGTAGTCATTACATACGAATCAATCATCCATAAACGGTTCATAATTAAAGCTAGGTATTTTCTGTTAACCTCTTTAATTATATATTTCTCCATAAGTACCATTGATCCTCTAATGAATAATATATTTTATGATCCAATCATAAAATTGAGCGCTCTTATTATTCAAGTCCCGAATCAACACTTATGGGAACCGTCCATCTACTTCATTATGAAGGAATGGATTTCATCTTGTAAATTAATATTTCCGGCTATTTATTTTACTATGCTCCCAATATACCAAGACTTTGATACTATTCACATGTGTCATTACTCAATATGTCAAAGAACATAATATCATAAATAGGAGTTTATTAATTACTCAGAATTAAGATTAATTCATATATGACCATCATTGATTAATATTGAATATTATATTTAATAACGGAATTTATTAGAGATTCATAATTAATCGCGTTCCGGTCCTATGTAATCATATTACATAAAATGCTTTCATTCCAATAATCTCATTATTAACAATCTAGGATAAGATTGTTTTATTCAGAATATAATAAACCGCATTAATAATTTTAAATTAAAGATCCCAACTTTAATTTATAATTACGGACAAGTTTATATTATTTTATTTCAAATATTATCCTCTGCATATAACACTTATATACAATGTTTAAAGTTATATCTAAAATAATCTAGGGATTTGGATATTTATAAAACATCACATGCATGCAAAATAATATTGAATAAATTCCTTATTTCATTGATAATTAGCAAAATATTTACATCTTATTTGATTTATGGGCATATATCCCAACAATCTCCCACTTGCCCTAAAGCAAATGAGGCATGTCTCTAAGTCCCATACTTTCAAGATATCTCTCAAAACTCCCAGCTGGTAAAGTTAATGGGTTTCTCAACACATGAGATGGATGAATAGAGATGCCACCTATAGTTATTACTCACTTTTCTCAAAAGTATGGAGGATTGATTCATATGTAGTGACTATATCAATGGACAACACAAATTCTGTGAACATAATTATTTTATTATTTTAAGAGTACAATTCCAAATTTATAGTGGAGTACTTTGGAATTAATAATTTTGATATATTAATTAAGGTGTTAATTAATTGTCAAAATTATTAGAACTTAAAATAATAATGTCCATAGTTCCTCTCAATGGCTCCATAAGATTAATGTGAACTAAATATATCATATTGAGTTATGATTATTAATATAGAATTGAGAATTCTAAATACACATATATTAATTAATTTGATTAATTAATATTAAAATTATTTTAAATTAATATTGATGAATTTAGAGATAATTTTCTTCTCCACGTTTCCTTCTCCCTCCCCTCGTTAATATATATATATATATATAAGAAAGGAAACATGCAAGTGCACGTTTCCTCAAAAAAAAAAAAAGAGATGGAAGTGGGAGGAAACGTTTCCTCCCTATGAGGAAAAGGTCACAGACAGAGAGGAAGGAGTTCCTCGGTGTGTGAACGTTTTTAATCCTCAGCGTGGATTAATATTTTTTTCCAGAGAAGAGAAAGGGTGAAAAACGGGAGAACAAAAAGAAAAACCAAAAAGGAAAATTTCTAGAGTGCTATCACATACTTTTGAGAAAAGTGAGTAATAACTATAGGTAGCCTCCCTATTCATCCATCTCATGTGTTGAGAAACCCATTAGAACGCCCACACGTTCGAGTTCACGTTAATCCGGAGATACGTTGAGAAAGAACCGTGGTGTTCTTAGAATTTAAGAGCATAAGACGGTGTTGGAGGAATTCAAGATTTACGTCCTAATCGAACGACGGTCAAATCCTCATTCCTTTCTTTAATATCTTTGTAGTTAAACTAGTACAACATACAACATAGAAACTAGTTTCTTGAAGCAGAAAAGGTACAATGTTGAAGGGCATAGAACTTTACTTCATGTTTGAACGTCATTGTTAATGAATTTTAGGCCAAAAGAATCAAGAAACTAGTACAACAGCAAAAAAATAAGTCTTACTCATTAGGATATGTCTGCAGATTGTATCACTATTCAGTTAAATGCTGGGGTGTACTTACCTGGCTTGAAATGTAACCACAACGTTCACATGTCCCCTGCTCAGGCATTTTTGTAGAAGTGGAAATCCTGAAATCCTCTCCTGATTTAATGATGTCTAATATGGCCCTAGGTCTGCATTAGAGAGAAACAAAGTTCAATGTTAAAACCATATATGATGTGGTTGCAGAGAAAATAGTTTACAAGTTAACTCAATTACTTCTGCAAATCACAATTCCTGACATTCAACATGTTAAATACCTTATTCTTTCCAAGTCTTTGATGAACTCCCGAGCAAACCCTCGGTACGCATTTGGAGAATAGATACCTGTTATTTTGAAAAAAAATAAAATAATAATTTAGGGAATTAGAAAGCCACAGAAAGACATTACAACTGTAAATAAAACATTCTGGGAAAGAGGAAAGATTATAAATTACATTCAGTGGAGAAGTAGTCCAGCCGCTTGAAATAGGCATACGTGCACGTGTAGTTAAGGATTGACGATCAATTGGAACATATGATAAAGATCAATAATGGAAAATGCAAGAATTACATTGCAATCAAGTGTTTTAACAAGGATATATAACAATCTCTTTCTCATAAGTATACTTAAAAGGTTTGCATCGAGGAATTGGTCCATCCTCACCAGTAGTTATTGCAGTACATCTACCTAGCCTGCAAGGAAAAGAAAGCAATCATACATGCGTACAACCAAAATATGAGAAGTTGAAGGAGAGGAATAGCCAATAAATGATGTATACCTAGCAATATCACCTCGTAATATGTTCAATAAAACAGTTTCGGCAATATCGTCCGCATTATGTCCAGTAGCAACCTTATCCACTTTCAGCATAGCTGCACCGCGATCAAGGGCCTTAAAAGATAATGAAAAAACGTGTGAGAGAGAGAGAGAGGGAAAAGAGATCAGATTCGCGTGCACTCACGTGCGCGTGTGTGACAAAATCTATCATATCCTTTACAATGAGCAGAAATCAGAATGTCACAACTGGCACAGAAAGTGGCATTGCTTGTTACTCGACAAAGGTAAATCTGTTTGAATGCCAGATGCAGACAATCTGAGTTAACTTGTTAAACTGAAATCATATTATGTTACACCATTTGTATTGTAGGTATTTCCATTGAGTAGAATTTCTGAGTTAAGAGTGAACTCAGAAGGTTTAGAATATAAAACAGATTACGCAAATGCAATTTAAGAAACCAAGCAACGAAAAAAATAGTAGTTTGGTGCCTCGACTGCTCAATGAAGTTTCAGCACCAGACAAAGGGTATATGAAAATGGTTATTGTAGCTTGTACGCTACATCTTACTCGAGAAAAATGTGAGAATCATTCTTTAGAAATTATATATGCATATCATGAGTGTGAGTGCACGTAGTAAGTTATGAGTAGCACCAATACAAGGTTAGTTTTGGTCGCTCGGCAGCTGCCCCCTATAAACCTAAGCAACAAACTGCGAAAATTTCGGGACACAAAAGCAACCATACAGTGACAAATAAATTATTTTCCAAAAACATACATGTCAATGCATGTCCAACTCATGTCTCTGTGTGTGTGATCTGAAGTACCAGTTAACACGTAATTAATTAGTGAAAAAAAAAAAAGCACCAACAATGTGTGCTGAAAATGTTTATTTTTCCAACAGCAAACAAGATCCATTAGTTAAAACAAAAATATTTATTTATAGTAATACTATAATTAGAAATTAAGTACTGTACCTGACGGCGGAAAACACCACAAAAAGTGCAATTATTTTTTAGACCAATCATCTTCACTATTTCATCCATAGTCCATCCGTACAAATCTTTGTATGAGACAACTTTTAATGGCAACCCATACTGAAAAGCAAATTAGAATAGAAGTCAGTTTCTCAGAATGATGTAATAAAGTGGAAATAAATATACTTGCTAAAATTTTCCCTGGGACTGTAAAATGAATAAGGCACGCTGTTTGAATATTCAAAGATAATAAGGAGCTGTATGAAATCAGAAGCAGATATACACACAACCTCACACAGAAATTAGAATTGCAGTTGTTTTCCTTTTTCCCCAAGCCAGAAGTGTTGACCACTAAGACTTGCTAAAGATTCAGTATAAATTAAGTAAAGAAAACAAACAGGCACTCCAAAAAAAAAAAAAAAAAGGAATCTGGTTACCTGTATTTCATTTCTTTTGACAGTTTCGAGAGAATCATCCCTGTACCCAGTAATGCCCTCATCAACAGACAAGAGGAAGAGATCTAGACCATAATGGTGCCGCCTATTCAACGTTGATAATACATAAGCAAGGACAGTGGAATCTACAGAGAACATAGAAAAGCATAATGAGATGAAAAGTAGAAAAAACAACAGTTTAATTTAATTGAACCAAGCAAAAACAGTGGAATCCACCCAGTTCTACCCCTCTCCTCCTACAGTCCTTTCACTTCACTGTCTACTGAACAAAATGATCCATCCTTAGTAGATAAAACTTCCTATAATATATTTTTACAATCAAACCCAACTGGGTATTAACTTGGACTAATAGTGGCTCAATATGGGATTATAGTGCCTTTAATAGAAGCACTACTTGTACTTTAAGTAAAATTAGATGTAGAAGTACAATCCAAAAGCTACAAAATCCAACTTCTGAAAATAACAATGTTACCAAACACTACAAACGCATCATTTTTTGCGCAAATTGCTTTTAGGAGTTCTAAAAGCAATCCCAAACTGACACAAAAAGTTGATTACACAAATGAGTGAGTAAGAAAACCATATGATTTCATAGACAAGCAAAATTATATGCAGAAATATGCAACCTTTAAAGAATAGAAACATGTCCAACCCCAATGGAGGATTCCAACAATCACTCACGTAAACTTTGCAACCATAGATAGAAAACAAGCATGCTCACCTTTACCACCGGAGGCGCCGATTGCTATGCGTTCGCCGGGCTTAAACAACTGGTTCTCAACAATAACTCGATGAATCTCCTCCTCAAAAACCTCATAGAAACACTCCCTACAAACCTTCATACACAAATAAAATTCAACATCTGACACAACCGTAAACAACACCAATTAAATAACACAAAATTGGCATCTTATTAACGTCATTACGATTTTTTTTCCCTAAGAACAACAAGCTACAAACTAATGAGAGGACAAGATATAGACCACAAGTAAACTAGAATAGACGAAAAACGCAAGACAATGAATTAAACAAATAAACACGAAAATTTTGGTTTTGGTTTCACTTTCTCCCAGTTTTCCCGGCAACCAAACAGAAGGTTTTACGTTTGAAAGTGAAATTACCTGCTCTAGGGTTTTGGGTCGCTTGAGGGCGGCTCTTCGCTGGTTACAGACGCAGCACAAGTAAGGCCCTGCAGTTCTGGGCTTCGTTTTCGCTTCTTCCTCCATAATTATTTTATTTTATTTTTTGTTTTGATTTGTGTAAAATGGATTCGGGAGTTATGGAAGCTCAAAGAGTGATTGCGATCAGAAATCACACGAACGATCAGCAGGAATCTGTCGAACCGTGGAGGCTGTGGAATATGTTGCTGGAACCGCACTTCCTTCCGGTGCTAAAAAGCAGTCGAAGTAAAACATAGAAACGACAACAATGTGAAAAAGCGACATCCAACACCCCTAAAAACAAAGCTCTCATCTTTGAGATACAACTCTTACAGAAAACGACATCTTATTGGCAGCAATGGAGCCAGCCTTGAAAAGGCCCGTAACTACCCATCTTTTCATGATATCGTTTTTCATTGGAGTTCCACCGGTGGGCTTCCTACCAGTAGAATTTGATTTTTGATCATTAAATCTGATTAAATCTGATGAAAATCAAACAATTTTTACAAATTTTATGATTAAAAATAAAATATTACCGATATTTTTTTTTTTCTAATTCTATTAGAGAAAATATCAAAAAATATATGTTAGTAAGTGATAAATACCATAAAATTTTATGAAAATTCCGTGAAAATGTCAGATACTTTATATCTTTCAATTTATTATTAAATATACTAAACTTCACGTCTCTTTTTAACTTACTTTTCTGAAAGTAGTCTTCCATCGTGAATGTTACTAATGGCATGTTTACTTATTAGGATTAAAAAATTAGAGCGGGAAATTGGAGTTAATTCTATATTTACTTGTTTTTTTTATTTTAAAATGAGAGTGAGATTGGTGGGCCCCACTCAAATTTTAAATTGAGAAATGAGATTGGCACTCCCACCTTTGGGATTGAGATTTTCATTCCTAATATTAATATTAATTTACTATCATACTCTTATTTTACTTATAAATACACAATTAAAAATAAATTTCAAAAAATAATAAATGCAACATATATTTATTATTTTATTTGCCTAATATTATAATATTAGCATAATTATTATTAACTTTAATATAATAAATATGTACTTTATTTTTTAATAAATTAATAATATATTTTATTTTTTAACACTATTTTTTTTTATTTAAATTTATTTTTATATTTTAAATAGTTGTACAATTTATATTTATTATGTTAGTACCCAATTATTACACTAAATATTTTAATTATGATTAATTTTAATATAATAAGTAGACAATATATTTTTTAAATTGAAAATATCAAATTGATTTAAAGGGTATATTAGTACTTTTACATTTTTTCATTCTAATTCTGGGTGTAAGTAAACGTATGAATGAGATTTGGAATGACTCTGATTCCGAATCCTATCACTAAGTAAACAGCTTATTCTGACTCTGATTTCTCACTCTAAATCCTACCCACTCTGAATCATGCCCATTTCGATTCATACTCATTTCAATTACACGTAGGTAAACATACCATAAATACAGCGGTTAAGTGGCATGTCCAAAATTATATAAAAAATTATTTAAATTCCATATCTTAGTATCAATATCTTGTATTAATATTTTCTCATTTTGTATGAAACTATGGATCGTGAATGCATACTCATCATTTATTGTACTACGATCACTTCTTATCATGCATATTTATCATACAATTAATATTTTGATTGAAAGTTTCTTCTAATTCTATGTATTATTAACTATTTTAGAGTTTGTGTGTTGGGATAAAAGTTTGCAATTTACATTAATATACAACGGCATTGATATTTTCGCGAAATTTAAGTACTAATATTTCTGTGGACATCGATATTTTCATCCTTGCTAATGCCTAAAGGCTCAACTAAATTTTGGGCATCAGTTATTGTGATAGTTTTTTTGTTAAATTTTTAAATACCCATTTAACAACGACAAATGTAGTTGCTAATGGGTCCAGTAACACCTTGATTCTGAACGATGCAGTGTTAATTAGAGATACTAACGTATATCGTCGTCGCTAAAGGTCTAGTTTATATATAATTTCTCAAACCCTTCTCCTTTCTTTCCTTCGCTCCTTTCATCCTCACTCCGCTGGGTTGTGCAAGGTTTATCTAAAACTGCCGGTCTGAGCCAATCCGGCGGCTTTTAAACTGCCAGTCCAATTCCACATCAAAACCAGGAAGCGGACCGAGATATAGTAACTAAAAACCAGGAAAAAGAAGTCTAAAAAAATGTCCAAAACTGCGGTTAAAACTAGCCCATATCATTTTGAAAGGGTTTTCTATTATCAAAAACAATGAACGTGTTTGAAATTTATCTTGTTTTTGTTTTTTACGTTTTTCAAGAAAGAAAAAATGAAAACGTTTTTAAAATGGCGTTTGGCACAATAAATACAAAAAACGAAAATGAAAACGATTTTTTAGTTTAGTGTAAAATGAGAGAGAAATGAAAAATGACTTTTAATCGTTTTTCATTTTTTGTTTTCATTTTCTCCTCTCTTGAGCAGGGAAAGACATTAATAGATTTTTTTACACTGAAAATAATCTCTTGATAAAACTAATAAGCATATTTTTAAAAATAAATTTTGTCTGAAATTGAAAACGTTTTCGTTTTCATAAAATTTATACAAAAAATAAAATTATTTTAGAACGAATTCTAAACGCGTCTAATGTGTTTGATATGTCATTTTTTCAAACCGTCAAAATCGTCCAATCGCAATTTGGGACCGGACTAGACTAGACAGGACTACAACCCTACTCTCAACCCCCCATGCTACCAGCACCACTCTCCTCAGCTCAACTGCTAGACTATTATTTGTCCATCACATGATAACTCGACATTAAAAAAATGTTGGTAAAGAACGAAACCTTATATACCCATAAAAATGCTTGAAAATCAAAATATTTTACACAGTTGTTTTGTAAAAATTTTTATTTTACAAGATGGACACAAACACAAACTCCATTGAATTTTAAAAATCAGTTGTCAGTGTCCTTATTAAGAACCAAACTTACCAAGAGAATAAGTTCAAGGACTGATTGACAATAAAAATTTAGGGACCAAATTTTCACTTAAAAATTCAAGGACCTATATAAAGCCAAAAGCCCAAAACCATTAGGAAAAAAAAAAAAAAAAAAAAAAAAAAAAAAAAAAACAAAAACTTTTTTTTTTTTAAAAAAAAAAAAAAAAAAAAAAAAAAAAAAAAAAAAAAAAAAGCAATATTTTCTTCTATCTTTCCTTGATATTTTCTTTACCTACAAAAATCTAGGTTCTAAACGAGGAATGCCATTGCTTATACATTCTCCAATCCGTTACATGCTCATAAATTAAGCAAAGGTCAATGAGGAAGCAGTGTTAATTAGATGCTTATACATAATAAAACAGAACGCTTTAATATTTTCTGCCAAAAACTGACTGAATGAGACAGCAAGCTAGTTGAAAAATGTCAAAACGTCATCTTGTTCTTTTCACAACTAAAATCACAACTCAAACTCTTTTGCTAGAGTGTTTTCTCTCACAAAAATTCAAATTTAACTTTTTTGTTACAGTATTCTCTCACATAAAAAACTTTGAATTGTGAAAAGAACGAACACCTAATAGAAAATCTATCAAAAGAAAGAATTGCCTAATCCTTAAGAGTTATCTGACACTTGAAAGTATCTGTATATCTGCGAATTCCATATTTCTGCATTATTGACACTTATTTTTCCCCAAACTCAGAAGAGGGGAACTAGAGATACAAAACCAAGAAGCAAAGCATGTAGTGACTATATCAGTAGCTAGAAAGCATGTGAACTTATCAATGGAATGGATAGGGTGAAAAAAAATCAAACAGGAATTTCAATCCATTGCAGAAACTTCCAACAACAAGGACATGAAACGCAAAACCAAGCAATATCAGTACTACATGGATAGCACCCAAGATTATTAGTTATTTCTTTTCTATCCTTTCTCTTTAGAAGATACCAAAAATCCCATGGGGTTTGTCTTATCATTAAACTATACTAATTTTTGCTGCTGCTTTGGATATCTGTAGGGTCAGAGTTCTTCTGAATAAGAAGCAGATGGAAGTCTCTGGCTCTCTCTGGCAACCGAATATCTGCGAAAGCATTCAAAAGCCTACTACAGGCAGAAACATCAAAATCTGTAGTAGCTGATTGCTTCCATTGGTCAATAACTTCTCCTACTTCCTTCAAATGTCCAAGCATCAGATATGAAGAGAGAATACAAATATAGTTTCTACTGGTCATCTTTTGTTTGGTCATTCTCAAGGATTTCCATATTTGGTCAATTCTATCTTTGTTCCCTACACCACCATATAGAATTATGAGAAAGTCATATGTTATCCATTCTCTTTGTGTGATACCTTTCTCAGCTGAAACTAAAGAATTAGATTCTGAATTTGTAAGTTGACCTGCGGTAATATAAATACTAGCAAGGTTTATATATCTCATCCAACTTTCATCAGAACCAGGGTCAGACCTCATTTCATCTAAAATCCGTCTAACCTCATCAATCTTCAAAGTTGCAGCACATGAACTTATCCATAGATTGTAAGTGAAGATATCTGGTGCAACTTTCTGTTGTTTTAGTTCTTCAACAACTATAGGCACCTTCTCCACCTGTCCAACCGAGGTGTACATAGTCATCATCTCATTGTATGTAACAGCAGTGAAGGACAGGTTTGAATCCTTCATTCTCTCGTAAAGTCTGTCCGCCTTTTCGGTCAGCTTTGCCCCAGCATAAGAGTGGAGGAGAGCAGTGTATGTTTCACTTGTTTTTGCACTGACTGGTAGACCTTCAAAGTAGCGCTCGGCGGCGTCAATGCCAAAAACTTTTGTCATTAAGTCGATTCGGATGGCGTAGTCAGAAACTGATAACTCAAATTCGTCATGGCTAACCATCCATTCTGATATCTGCAAGCTTGTATGGAATAAAACAAGAGCCATAATAATATGAAAGATTAGGTTGCAACATGGAAACAAAAGCGAACATGCTTAGAAAAGTAATATTGTAGTGCGTGACTTTGTTTTCACCATTAATGATTCAGTACTTGCAGAGTAATCATTTTCAAAGTTTTCCATTGATAATTTGCTCTACATTGCTGATTGGCGAGAAGCTTATGGGTTTCGCGATTGGGGGAGCAGGATTTATATAGTCCTTTCCAAAGTAATGTAATCCCAGTATGTAGAAAGGCCTGTTGGTTTCAAATCCAATAAGATGGCTAAGGTGATGTGGAAAGTAATAGTTTTGCTCTCTGTGGGTCATTTGGATGGAGAGGAACGGGAGAATTTTCAAAGAGGGGCTGGACTATATTTCTCTTTTCAAACGAGCTAAATAATTAGCTTTGTTGGGAACTTCTACTAAAAAGTCTTTAAAGATCCTTTTTCTTTGTTTATATTGAGTTGGAAATGTAATAGGTCATTGATTTGTTTCGGTTTTCCTCGTTTTTGTTTTGATGAGTTCTTCCCCTCTTTCCAATTGTATCATTTTCAGTATGAATAAAATTTGTTACTTATTCTTAAATTAAGAAAAAAAAATTAAAGTTTTATGTCTAAAATTCTGAGAACAAGAAAACACAACAGCTGTCGCAACCAAATTTGTAGGCGATTTCTAAAATCAAATCCATGTTGTTTCATTTATGCTAAGAAAATAAGTCTAGCATGAGAAAACTGTGTAATTTTGTCTTCTCTGAAAATGAAAAACTAAATACATAAATAAATATCCATGTTTTATCAGCGCCTGATTGACACATTTAACTTACACTAGAAAGCTCTGGAACCATCTGAGACAAAAAAATCTATTCTCATGCAAGGTTCTAAGTAGGATGTTTTCAAAAAAGAGGGAAAAAAGTATACGTTGCTCAGAAGTTAACTTCAAATTAAGAGGTTTCAGGAGCCATGCTTCTATCAAGTAACTACTATGCACCCATAGAGGACTCCCACGGCTTCGCTCTCTCTCATTTTCGCTCCTCTCTAATAACCAATAATCTCTCTGGCCTCTCTTCACACGCAGTGCTTGTTGTATCTATGAGAAAAAAAAATGTTCAGCTATCTTCACCTTAAACAATCAATCCCCAAATTGAACATGTCCAGGACACAATCATTCGGACTTGCTTGTTCGTGTAATCCTATGTAGCATGAACTCATACAGCTTTATTAAAATGCAAAGGCAATACTTAAAGGCCCGACGGGCCAGCGCCTCACCACTATGTGAGTGAAGATCCTGGACCGAGGGGGCTAGAAAAAAGTTTTTCTAAATTAAAAGCTCCAGGGCTCCACTACAAGAAGCTTCGTGTTCTTGTTGTTGTTGTTATTCTTCTTCTTCTTCTTAAAACTTCCAAATTCCAACTACATTTGTGTTTCAAATATGGGATTTTTTCATCCTACTAGTATTTACAACAGAGGAGTCCTAATTTTAAGTCATGCTAATCACCCAGAAATGCTTTTCATTTCAACTTGACAAAGATAAAAACAAAATACCCAGAAAAATTAAATTTAGCAGTACACAGAAAATGAAAAAAATAATAATAATAAAGATAAAAAAATAAAAATAAATAAAAGAACCTCGAGGGCGTGCTTGTAACGGTGAGACTTCCGGAGGTCCTTGGAAATCTGGCGAAGTTCTGAGATCGAAATCTGGTTGCCTTCGCTAATCCATCTCTGAAGAACGTTGGTGGCGCTTCGTTTGGGCAGTCTGAGCCTAAAGATTCTGCTTTTGACGTCATCACTTTCCACGGAATCTTCTTCGACGAAATAGCTCCTCAGAGTACCCGAGCAGAACATTCTAGAAGTTTCGCCCTTGCCGAAGAAAGGTATCGGCCGGGAATTGTCCGCCAGTGAGCTGATTTCTCTGCATCTACTGAACTCAACAACGATTAGTATATGTAGTTTAATCAATAGTTTTTTTTAAACTAGAAATGAGAAAGTTCAAAAATTTTCCGTAAACATTTCGATGTTATGAATATATCAAGTTTCGGGTTTTGGATTCAGTTCCTGCGTTTTCTCGGCAACCAAACAATGGCAAGAGGAAAAGCGAAGACTGCGCGTACCGTCTGAGGGTGAGGAAGACTGCGCGGGACGCCATTGCAGCCCTTGCTTCTTCTTCTTCTTCTTTGTAACGGCGTACCTGGTAATGTGAGTTTAGTTTCCGAAGGAATTCTGCGACCCTCGCTTACACGGGTTGGGGCCTGGGGGTTTTTACCATCTCTAATTCAAATGATATTGCTAATGGCATATTTGGCCTAAAAAATTTATGAAAATGACAAAATGTAATATGTAATATGTTATTTTTAGTTTTTCGGGAAAAAATAAATATTTATTTTTATCTATATTCTAATATATAAGTTATTTTAGAGGTTAATATTTTATTTTTTTTTATTTTTTTTTTTTACAATAGGAAAACTTCCATTCACTAAAAAAAATACTAAAAAGAAATACAAACACAAGTGGCAAACAACCCAGTTACAAGTGAATTCGTTCCCGAACCACTGATTGGATCTACCATTGAAGACATAAATAGCATAAGGACGAAAACAAATGTCAAGACTAAATGGGGACAGCCCCGCTCGGCATAGACAATTCGAGCAATACCACAGCTCTTTAGAGACCAAAACATTTGAATGACTAAGTCAATCGACTGAGACAAAGCCCTAAATAACGGGAAGATGCACACGACATAGAGAACCCTACCGTAGTAAACAAACTCGGGCGGAGAGTAACACCGCCATTATTACACACAAACTAGAACAATAAAACAAAAAAAAATCTGCGAACAACATCGTTGAAAGCCTCCGGCGAAGGGGTAGCCCGCATAGGGTAGCCGGCTTCAAGAGACGCGTAATGGAGTTGGAAAACTAGAACCAAACGTCGCAAAGAAAGCTCCGCCAAACGTTGACGGAAGGAGACGCTGCCACCGTCCCAAGTTGTCCACCACCTTGAAGAAGAAAAACTCCAGAGATCTCAACCATCCACCGAGGAAAGCGCCGTAAAACACATCCCAACCGTGTGAATTCCAAAATTTAGCGAGTTTTAGATCCACCTAAACGGAGCCGTCACGTTGTACACCACACCTATCATCATAAAGCCCATGAAAAGATAAGTCGGAAGACTAAATACCAAGGCTTGGAGCCCAATGACGTGTCCAGAGACGATACCAGAGCTCTGTATGAACACCTACAACTCTTTTTCGTTTAAGAGGGAGAGTGAAGAGAAGATGAATAGTGTTAATCTTTTTTTTTTTTTTTTTTTTTTTGGGGCTATAATCCTAAAACATTTAATATATAAACGGAGATATAAACTATTTTTATTTTTTATATATTCAATATATATAAAGTGCTGATCGATTTGGATTGGTTATTGTTTTTGCTAACTTCACAACTAATCCACATAAGCGTTAATCAGAGAAAAGACCAGTCAATCCAATTCGCAGTTGATCAGTTATTTGCACTTTTCAAACTGAATGGGATCAGTGTAATGGGTTCAGATGAGTATTTGCAAATTTTGAACAGCCCTACTAAGAGCCTAGACTGATTTATCTTGTTTAAATGTTCTTGTAGAAATACCGTTTTAATATATTTAGAATACCAAAAATACACCTCTTAGTACCATATTACTTTTGTCAATGATCAATAGTATTAGTATCCTATATATGCTGATATAGTCGTCAACTATAACACTAAGAATATTTTGTTATGATATTTTGTGGTAGTCCTCCATGATACAAAAAAATTGTGTTTTGGGATCGAACTACGATACTTTGAAGTAATCTTCCGTAGTATTTTCATATTTCAATGAATGGTGAATGGCGACCATGATATTACAATTTTTCTCATGAGAATATGTTAAAAATTAAAATAAAAAAAAAGACATTATTTCTCACATATTACAATTTTTCTCATGAGAATATGTTAAAAATTAAAATAAAAAAAAGACATTATTTCTCACTAAAATATATAAAAGGAACAGAATACAAAAAACATAGGAAAAAAAAAAAACACAAACCAACTCCGACAGACGGGATTTTTAGAGCTATTTAACTTTAAATACTACAACGCTAACATTCTGGATGTAAAAATGGATGAGTTTCAAGAGTTAAAGCAAGAGAACTCTACAGTAATTGAATATGCGCAGAAATTCGATCAATTGTCAAGATTTACACCTGAATTGATAGCAACGGAAAATGAGAATAAAAGGAAGTTTATAAAAGGTTTAAGGTCGGATTTAACAAAGTTAATAGATGCTGATGAGACAGGGCCACACACCTATGTAAAAGCTGTTGAGTGAGCGATTCGGCAAAAAATGTGGAAAGATGTTGAAATTGTATTAATGGACATCCCCGTTCAAGATCTCCCTTGTGCGAAGAAAAAAACCGGTATTGTGTCAATAGATGGCCCGTGTGGCACAGCTATTGATATTCTTTTTGCTTTGTTATTCACCACGGCTCTATGCCTCACACTCATGTACTTTGTCATTCGTCAGCACCTATCACAATTCACAATTCACAATTAATAAAGATCCATATTTTGCTTTTCAATCACCCAAAACGACATATATGATATATAACATATACTTCTTTTTTTAAAAAAATAAATAAATGGGGAGAGATGGAAACTCAACACATCCTTACGGAGGAAGTTAATATTTTATACATTGTTAGTTTTGATTTTTTTTTTCTCATAATCATATTAGTAAATCTCTTGAATGTAATGCTCTCAATTTTCAAGTTGTAATTTGTATTTTATACGGACACTATAAAGTTGTAATTTGTACTTTATACGAACCCTGTTTATAGTGTTCGTTACTAGTAAGTCTTTTCTCTCTTTTTTTTTTTTCTTAATACGTGAATGTTGGCACATTGTGGAAATAAATCTTTATCTTCTCTTCTTCCTTTTATTTTATTATTTAATTATTTTTAATCTCAACTAGATTGATACTTAACTAATAAGCAAGTTATCCAATATCAAACCCTCACTCTAATTTTATTTTATTAATAAAAAGAAAAAAGAATAAAATAATTTATAATTATTGAGAAAAGTATATGTGTGTGCTGTCTCACATGAAAAGTGAATGAGAATGTAAAGTGATTTATATACATAGAAAGACTCAAGACCTAATAAGTTAATGTTTTAAGTCAAATTAAGCTCTTAAAGTGTATTGGGCTAATTTCGCCTGTGGTGTCTCCTAAAAAATAATTAATCCCCTCAAAAGGGCAAAGAAAACAAGAAAAAAGAAAAAAAGAAGAACTAATGTTTAAGTAGTGTCACCAAGGTTAAAAACAAAGGCGTTGGGCATGGCGTTCCAATTGACCCACTTGCCTTTGTGTTGGAGTTGAAGACCACCCATATCGTTTTGAATGAGAAGGGTCACCAGGCCATGATCGGTGTGCGGCGGGATTCCGATTGCTCGGTCCGGCTGCGGGCAGGCTGGATAATAGTTTGCAGCCAAGATTTTTGCAGGCCTTTTCATAGCCTTGGCAATGTAGTTTGATCCAAGTCCCAACGCTCTGATATTGCTTTCAACAATTCTGTTGCTACATCTCTAGTTCTCTTACTGAACTCTAACGCAGCCTCACTGCAACAGAATCAAAACCCAATTAAAAATGATGAAAACGTCTGTTTTCCAAAGTGGTGGAGCATAGAAATTATTTTCAATAAGGAATATACTATGAAATTATTTTCACACATCACTTTTGTATATATGTATATGTATATGTTAGACTTAAATCTTTTTACAAAGTGTCATAGTTTAAGTTATTATAAAAAAAAAAAAAAAACACAAACCAACTCTGACGGACGGGAATTTTAGAGCTATTTAACTTCAAATACTACAACGCTAACATTCTGGATGTAAAAATGGATGAGTTTCAAGAGTTAAAGCAAGAAAACTCTACAGTAATTGAATATGCGCAGAAATTCGATCAATTGTCAAGATTTACACCTGAATTGATAGCAACGGAAAATGAGAATAAAAGGAAGTTTATAAAAGGTTTAAGGTCGGATTTAACAAAGTTAATAGATGCTGATGAGACAGGGCCACACACCTATGTAAAAGCTGTTGAGTGAGCGC